CTGCTTATCATAATCACGAAAATTCAGGGTTTCCGTGTAATGAGATTTGGAAAACGGTTTTTGGTTGGAACCTCTATTAGGACCTTGCTACCTAATACAGAGAGAGCGAGAGAGTTCCGTGAGGTTATGTATATCGCGGTGTCTGGCTTATAAGACTGCGTTCGAACCTCGCCGCGTCGATTAATGTTCGATAACATCTACTGACTGGTTTCAAAAGGAGTTAATGTTACTGCAAACTGTCATTCTTACTGAATACAATTACGTTCATTTATTAATTGTTTCTAGGTGGGACATGGGTGGCAAGACTGCTTTGATATTCAAGAAGGTTGTGATTTCCGTTGGATGACACACTTTCATCCAACGAATGGGGTTTCATTTTACTAGACACTAAAACTCCCAACAAACTTGTTTGCATTGCCGTCGGCGCATACAATGACGAATTCTTGACATCTCACCCAACGGTCCCTGCTAATTCCTCTCCCCCATACAAGCGCAGGAGTTAAACAGTAGACTTGCTGAACTAGCACAGCATAAATATTCACGGAGCCTCGAGTCTTGGTTGCACCAGCCTAGCTATTAGCATAACGCTCTGTTCCACATATACTGTTTGGCCGGCTTGTAGCGGACACCGCTGATCGGCTGGCAGAATTTTTCTCTCTCGAACGCCAAATAGTATCCAGGAAGTTTGTTTTACACGTCATACACGCCCCTCACGTGGGCGACAGTGGACGCGCCGTGAGAGATGGGACGAAGTGAAACTTAATTAGGTTAAATCTGTGCAATTTCTTAGACTCAAACCGTCATAACCCCGCCTACAGTTAAAACCCAAATTGCCTAATGCGGTATATTAGATCCCTGTGGGATAACAGCCAGTTAGCCTGGTCGGGATATCATTCAATTCACAAGGCTAGCCGATATGATCTCAATAAATGGGTCTGTGCGAGTATGGGAAGTCGGCGGTTTGGTGTACCCCCATGGCCAACATTTTCTGCCTACATGGGTCTCTCGAAACTTTTCAGTGCGATATGACAATACATCACAACCGGTGGAATTCGCATATCTGCACTTCAACGACCTGATCGTTAAGCAGACGTCTGTGTCTGGTCATCGACCTTGGAATTGATACTTTTATCAGAATGTTCGTCATGTTTAATTCCATCAACTGCAGTGTTTCAATCGATGTTTGGCTGTCTACCCCGAAGATGATACATCTAAAAGTCTGCTGGCATAGATTACTTACTCTGGTGCACCGTAAACCACAAAACCTTAGAGAAAGTAAACCTGATAACTGTATCCGGAAACTTTATTCCGATTTACACCTATTGATATGGTACAAGATGTAGTGCTGTATGGTTAGGCTTGTTACTTGAACAACTCGGCGCATAATAGGAAATGCACAGTTTGAGAACGCGGGTGTTAATATGTGATGAAAATATCGGGGATTGAAACTGCCAGTGCCGTGCTCGCAGGCACCATAAACAGCATCGACATATAATGTTGTGGGTTTCCACCTTCAAGACACACAGTGCAGTCGGGGGGGGGGGTTGATTTCATGTGTGTTGATTGTATTTCAGTCTAGCCGCTGCCTCTGAGGTTTATGAAATGGACCCCAGAAACAGGATGGAAGGTACATGTCCCTTCCGCTATCCACTTGACGGGACGCCACTGCTATGTAGCTCTAAAAATGTTTGACTACTAACGGCGGGACGAAAGTCCACAGCACCATGATGGAGTACTTACCTTAATGTTTAGTAGGTAGCGAGTCCGTAAATGAGTCCTGGATCTTTCGAGGTTTGGAAACTGGCCAGCAGTCTCCTTTGTTGAGAAGAAGTAGATGCCATCGCAGAAATAAGAACTTCGTTCGCCTGACCTTTCGGATTCATGCTCCAGCCCACCATCAGAGCCACTATCCTAGGAGGCACGTCACCATTTGGGCTAGGTCGTAGTTGGTAGCCAAGCCCCGTATTACAGGTGGCTGTGGGGTTTGTTTACTGGGGCTATTTTGTGGAGCTCCATAATCACATGTGATCGATTTGACTTCCGTTTTACGGTCGAGGTTAGGATTAGGATACCGGTTACTAGATTCCGATTTTCGGGTTAGGGTTATGCATTTAGGCCTAGGTTTTCGGGTTACGGTTAGGGTTTGACCGTACGATTAGGTTTCAGTATTACGGTTAGGTTTTCAAGTTAAGGCTATGCCTAAAGGCTACGGCTACTTTTACGATTTCGGTTAGGGTTAGGGTTGACGTTGGGCTTAACGGTTAACGTTAACGTTGAAGTTAGGGTTAGGGTTAAGGTTAGGATTAGGGTTAGGGTCGCCGTCCGCTTCCATTCCTGGCTACCAACTGCGATCTAGCCGCCGTTTGTATTGACAGGCTTCTCTGTTTATGCCTGTATATCATTTACAGAATGCTAGTTTATACTGCCCGCCGAAAGTGAGTACCTCTTGATATCCTGTCGGACTACTCCAGCAGGTATTTTTTCTGAAGAAACTGTGAGTCCCTTCTTAAGTTTCATTTGTTGTGGTGCTAAAGGAGCAAGTCGGCGCAACGTGAAAGTGACGTTATTTGATCTGGCCTGATCACCCAAGTCTTTTAGGTCTGGAAATATAAACCCCCTTCATCCCCACCCTCCCCCCACCAGCCAGATAACACAGGTGACCCAGTGCAAACCTGCCGCGTCGTAACGTTAACCCTGACACTAATGCAAACCTTAGCGCTAATCTATGCCTGAACCCAAACCCTAACCTTAGCCCTAACCCGAAACTGAACCCTAACCCTAAATTTATCCCCAACCTTAATCTCCCCGGAAATAGACGCAGGCCACTCTCTTGCTGACAACGGTAATTAAAGCCAAATATGACTACACAAGTCTCCCTTGCCAGCAGTGCCCTCAAAAATCCACTTTTGTCTTATCGACGAAGATTCCAAGTGACACACTGTTCGCCACGGTGCGGTCGGTAATTCTTGTGATAGACGATGGCTCTGGCGAGACACCCGTACCCTTCACTCATCGACAAGGTCAACCTGCCGCTACTTAGTGGAGAAGTCTGCTTTGCTTTGAGTCCCTCATCGTCTCGATCTGGGACTGAGGTATGGTTGGCTGCGTGAGAATGGCGGATAGGCCAGAAACGGCTAATCAGGTGCCCCATCCAATCTTAGCCTGTAACACCTCTCCACTGCTGATGACGTGTCACTATGTGGTCGACTATGAGGTCTCTAGGGTTGAATCGTCCATGCTCCGTTCTTATATGGTAATATCGCTTCTAATGCCAGTCCTATGTAGCATTGGGCATTACTTGCCCTGTACTCTGTTAGATGTAGATTGTGGAAAGAAATTGAGGCGCTCATGGCAAATTGATTCTGCCCGGTGTCAGTATAACTTCTCGCGTAATAGAACTGTCCTTCTTCGTTATTAGCATGCTTTTTTCAATCTTCGCCTTCTTTTCATGTCCCCTCTATTTCCTTCTTTCTGTCATATTCCATGTACTGTCTTTTCAAATCTGTTCAAGTAGAAAGTGGAAAGACAATTGTGTCGAGCGTAGGTGTGTGACAGATAGTTAAAATTATCAGGCGGACGAATTAATTTGTACCGTGTTTGCATGGAAGAAAACGTTTATTTAAAAGTAACCAAAGAGCATATATCGAGTAAAATGAAAATAAGCCTGGTTGAGCATCGGAACAAGGATAATAATCCTGAGCTTTTTGGGGAATCAATCGTCAATGATGATGATGATGATGATGATAGCTCGACCATCGATTTCGATGATGTTCACCGTGTGCCCCACAGCAGCAGCGGTGGGAGCAGGGACGGTGACTTGCGCAGGGGTTTATAGTGTCGGTAGACTTGCGCTGCATCTATCTACACTCTCCCCTCCTCCTCCCTCGCCCGAGCCCGGTGTCAAGACAGAGTCAAGAAGACCGGAGACGAGGGAGGCCGCAGGTGGATGGCTCGGACGGATTCTCATCTTGGCATTCCACCACACTCCCTGGTCCACACAACAAATAACCAGGATTTCAACCAACACAACAGAGATTGGAGGCTGGCACGACCGAAGCCGCACCTAGGCGTGCCGCTAACGCCTGGCTCGGATCCCACACCGTGATGGGAGTGCCATAAAGGCTACACTGAGAAGGAGCCATTGCAGCCTGACTCTCAGACCTCCCGTCAGGGAGGTCCAAGTTATTCCGTCAGTTAGCAACCTCCCAAGCCATGGCTTTTAGCGCACCGTGATAGCTTCAAGCG